CCTCCCTTCTCCTGTTCTTGGTCATGATTAAAGGGAAGTTGTCCTAGAATGATTGATATGTTTGTCTACTCGTCTTCCAACACTACAGAATGTAGAATCTGTTGACCTTTGCTTGGAAATGATATTGTTATATTAAATTTAAATTTAAATTTCTTCCCTTATCACTGGGATCTCTATGCATTAGCTTGTAATTATCTTCTTGTTTGGATGCTGTGATCCACAATACATTGCTATCTCACGTTTCAGCATGATTTGACATTTAAATAACCTTGAGGTCGTATAATTTGTTTTTGCTGTTGCACTTGTTATGGGCATTTCTTAAGTGTAGAGCACTAAGAGACCGACTTGTTTGCTGTGATTTTCAGGTGAGGAAAGTCGATATGCTTGAAGGAGTTACTGTTGTCCGGTCAGAAAAAGTGAAGGATGAGTTGGTATTGGACGGAAATGACATTGAACTTGTCTCACGATCTGCTGCCCTCATTAACCAAGTAAACCTCCGTTTCTTTTCTGTTCTTTTAGATATCACCCTATTTCGCCGTAATATGTGTTTACTCTTTATAGTGAATATCAATATCTTGCATATTGAGGTCATATATTGTTTTTTTTGGGACAGAAATGCCATGTGAAGAACAAAGATATCCGTAAGTTCCTTGATGGTATCTATGTCAGCGAGAAGGGAAGAATAGTTGAGGAAGAGTAAGTAGTTATCAGTAGATTGCTCTTGGTCTGTTTGTTCTCGTTATTTTTGGTTAAGAGTTGAGGTTATGTTGGGATCCCTTGCAAATTTGTTTGGAGTTAGATCAATCAAAATATTGTAAGGTTTTTTACTTAAGATTCTTTTGAGATAAGTAATTTGTTCTTGGAACTGGGAAGATTAATGTTTTTCTTGAAAGCAGATTGATTATAGTAATTCTAAATCTGCGTTGTTTTCTGTTTTTCTATCAAGCGGCACGATTTTTTTTTGAGGAAAAAAAATGCCCAATGTAATCTCACATAGTGGAGTCTGTGGAGGGTAGTGTATACAAAAACCTTACTCTTACCTTGTGGAGATAGAAATGTTGTTTCTGATAGACCCCCGGCTCAGTAAAAGCATAAAGCGCAAATAGGAAAGAGAAACGATAGTGTACAAGCCATGAAAATGAAGCAGCAAGATAATAAGATGACCAAAACGAAAAACACATGTAGCAGGCCAGGAACCAGAATACATACTAATATTACTAAAATGGATTGGAAAGGAATAGTGCTTGACTATCTACTAACTTTCTACCCTCGGTAAGGACACCGGGAGTTGATTCAAAACACTTTCCAATCGTGATGGGGTTGCATCAGGGATCAGTGCAATAGTTCGTTTTTACGAAGAATAAACAAGACCTATTGACACCATACTTGTTAAGGTAAGGATGATTTTAGCAACACTTTTGTAGTAAAACATTGATCAATTTAATGTTTTGAGTTTGTTTATTCTTACCATCAGTGTTGCCATGTTATGAGGGTATAGATTATCTAATTGTGGTGGCTGTGGCTGCCAAGATTTGGCAAATCATGTGATTTATTTCCAAGGCTCCTCTGAATCTACTATCCACAAGCTATCAAATGTGATGGAGCCAGTAAGCAGTAAGTGAAACAAAAAAATATTTACTAGCAAACACTGTTAAACGTTTTGGATGTTCCAAAGAAAGAGAAAGAATCATATAAGTTGGGGGTTGCCATGTTTCATCTTGTAGAGAATCGGTGGTTTTTGTAAGCACAGATACTTGGTTCATGTGCTGGTTGGAACTAGAGGCATTTATTGGTATATACATTGTTTTGGACATTACGGTTATAGATAAATTTTTATTTCTCTTCATCTTATTCATGCAATTAAAGGGAGGCTTGGAGCAACAGTAAATTTATTTTTACGTGACCTATATGTCACGGGTTCAAGTTGATACTTGCATCAGGGTAGATTGCTTACATTACACCCCTTGAAATGCGACCCTTCTCTAGATCCTGCATGAATGCGGGATACTTTGTGCACCATTATCCTTATTCATCCAAACCAAAAAAGACTTTAAATCTTTAATCGAGGGAGATTAGTGTGGTCACCGAGTCATATTCGCCTAAAGACTTTAAAATGCAAACTGAAGGGATACGTGCAAATAATAATTTTTTTAAAATGCAAACTGAAGGGATACGTGTAAATAATAAATTTTTTAAAAGCGAAATGACATAAATCACGTGAAAATAGAAATACCAGCATAAAGTAATGTCAATATGAAATATAAATTTCTCTAACCTAATTCTAGCCCGCAAACTTTTAGTACTTTATTGAATCTTATGGCAGATTCAATATAATTTTGGTATTTGTTTGATTTGTGAACGAGTTAATATCGAAACACGAAAATTATATAACGATGTTAAAAATAGCCAGTTTCCAGTTTGAATTGTTATTTTCTCCCCGGCATATAACGTTAATTAGTACTAGTATAATTAGTAGAAAATGAAATAAGATACCGAGTTTCAAGTTTGAAAAAGTGACATTAGATATGTATTATTTTTTCAAATAAATGTATGTCCAAATACAATTTTAATTTATTTAACTTAACTTCAAAATCTACTTTAAAAAAAAAAACTTATGTCAAAATACAAAAAAAAAATATATATGATAAAAATAGTCTCATATGTTTGAAAATAGGTTCAAAGTAGTTCGTAAAATATTACATTTAAGTTTGCTCTCCATCAAATATTTAACAATTTATATTAGTTAGATTTGACGGAAAATATGAAAAAAATAATTTATGCTTAAACACCACAAAAGTCCCATCAAATCCTAAAAAGTACATTAGACACCAAAATAGGAGAAATTGCACTTTCAAAGGGTGCATCAAACTCTAGAAAGTGACCAAAAATAACAAAATACAAAATTTAACCTTTAAATGTGAGTTCTCACTGATCTTTTTTCCATATTTTCATTAATATAATTCATTAAATATTTGATGGAGATCAAAAGTATTAATTTTTAATAATCAAAAAGTGTTCGATGCATACTCAAAGGGTACTTTTTTATTTAAACATAAGGGAACAAGTAAAATAAAAGTCAAACATTTACACTTATGTTCCTTTTCTTTATCTCTCCCCTGAGTTAAACTCTGTAGCCCTAATATACAAAAGGAATTACAAATTTACAGCCATTTCTCTGAGCCTAAAAGGCAGCATAAAAAAACCTACAAAAATTTCGTTAAATTCTGTAAACCTTAGACCGACAACAATCGACTTGTTGCAGAAGAAAAAGGTACTGGAATTTGCGATTACTAATTTAGCTGTAATTAAAGTTTAAATCTTTGGGCTGTATTCTAGCTGTTCCTGCAGGTTGTAAAGCTAAGAGGAAAAAGATGGAAAACGGAGGAGGGCCCAATGAAATCCCAGAAAATGCTCCTGAACGTATGTTTATTCTTTGATGTAAAGCTAAAGTTTTTTTTTTTCCTTCGATTTAATTGCTTAAGCGTCTATATTTGTGTTGTTTTGTTGTTGGTATTTCAGATTGTCCAGGTCCACAATCTGAAACAGCAGGAAAATCGGATGCTTGCCAAGGATGCCCCAATCAGGAAATTTGTGCTACTGCTCCTAAAGGCCCTGACCCAGGTCTTTTCTTTTTCCAATATTTTTTCCATCACTATTTTGCTCTTTAATTGTGCATAATATGATTCTGTAAAATACTTTGTTTGAACTTGTTTTTCTTTCCTTGAAATATTAGGTGTCAATTTTTCTGACTTGGAATGTTATCCCTTTTATTTTTTAATATCCTAGTGTCGTGCTAGCTTGTGTGCACTAGGATTATGCATCTTATCGGGTTAACTCTGCGCGCCAAAGCTTATGGGGATGGGAAAAAATCAATTGCTTTAATCCAAATGCTAAGAGAAAGACATCCCGTCCCAATTAGTTTGACATTATAAAAATGGCAAAAGCTTCTTTCTTCTAGAATTCGGAATGGAATCATTTAGAAACACTTATAGTACTATTACAAGATTGTGTATATACATAGTTCAAAGTAACCTCAGCATAATATCTTCGTCTTTCTTTTTTAATAGTCAGGGTGGTTAAACTATGTTAATGAAACACAATGGAGGGGCTATTATTAAGTAACTATCGGCAATTTCATTACATATGAAGCACATATGAAGCACATATGAAGCACTATTAGCAGATAGAGTGCACTTGTTGCTGAAGTACAAGATACATATGCGTATTTTTCACAGAAATTTCAGACATGTTTGTTATTTATTGCATTATGTCTTTTTGATGTCCTTGGCTATATACCCATGCTCATACAGTACCTAAAGTCATAAAGGAAGGATGCTTAATTCAATTTGTCTGAATCTTATTAAGATCATCAACTCAGGAATTAGTTCAATATTTTAAATCCTTAACTTGGGAATGAGTTTAAGAAAGAAAGGATAAACTTTTAACTGAAGTTCACTGAAAGACATAAACTTTACCAATAAAAAAAAATGTGTATGCTCTGCAATGATTGGTCGGAGAGGGTTTTTTAGTCTGTGCAGCAAGAAGGGAACTTAAGAAGAAGTTGAAGGAATTCTATATTTCTGAAGATTCATTGTGGAATGAGCAACGATAGAAAGGATTTTCTCCACACAAAAACGTGCAAACGTTCACACTAAAGAATATCTAAATCACATTAAGCACCTCTCAGGCATAGGCATCTAGCTCTCATTCAGATGTTACCTTTTCTAATTTTAGAACTATTGCCTTGGTACATTTATTTTGAATTTATGTTCTCATATGGATAGTGTAACTCAAGTAGCTCTTATATGTTGCAGTAAGTAACAAAGGAAATTTGAATATTGTTGACTGACGCTTTCTAATGAATAATTTGTTTGCTTCTGAAAGCTAGTATGCGGACACCCTAGGTTTTCGAAAGTTGAATGACAAAGTGGTTGATAGTGTAATACTGACTAGATTGTTTATTTACCAAGTTGGGACATTTCTGGGGTCAAATGCATGCTGTATATTTCAGCCGTTGCTTTTCCCAATTACTTATATTTTACCTGTCAACGATGGTGCGCAGTAGCATAATATGTTTTATATATCAAGGTTGCATATGGTATTCATTTTCCACGTGTTTGTATTTATTGTTTCGTGCAGACTTGGTGGCAATAGTAGAAAGAATGGCAACTGTGAAGCACAAAATACTGGTTTTATCTGGCAAAGGCGGAGTTGGTAAGAGTACATTCTCAGCTCAACTTGCTTTTGCATTGGCAGCTATGGATTTTCAAGTAGGTCTCCTTGATATTGATATATGTGGCCCCAGCATCCCAAAGATGCTTGGTCTAGAAGGACAAGAGATTCACCAGAGTAACATTGGATGGTCCCCTGTTTATGTTGAGTCTAACCTTGGGGTTATGTCAATTGGTTTCATGCTTCCCAACCCTGATGAAGCTGTCATATGGAGAGGTCCCCGCAAGAATGGTCTAATTAAGCAATTCCTCAAAGAAGTTTATTGGGGAGAGCTTGATTTTCTTGTGGTTGATGCTCCACCTGGGACCTCAGATGAGCATATTTCAATTGTTCAATTCCTACAAGCAACTGGAATAGATGGTGCAGTTATCGTCACAACCCCACAACAGGTATCACTGATAGATGTGAGGAAAGAAGTTAGTTTTTGCAAGAAAGTTGGGGTGGAGGTTCTTGGTGTTGTTGAGAACATGAGTGGTCTGTCCCAACCACTCACAGAATTCAAATTCATGAGAATGACAGAGACCGGTGAGCAAAAAGACATGACCGAGTGGGCCATAGCTTATATGAGAGAAAAAGCCCCAGAAATGCTAAACTTGGTTGCCTTTAGTGAAGTTTTTGATAGCAGTGGTGGAGGTGCTGCAAAGATGTGCGGTGATATGGGTGTCCCTTTTCTTGGGAAAGTACCACTTGATCCTCAGCTATGTAAAGCAGCTGAAGAAGGGCGATCTTGCTTTTCAGATGATAAGTGTCGTGCAAGTGCCCCCGCACTCAAGATGATAATAGAAAAGATGTTGGCTCAGAAAATGATCTCAAGAACAGAGAATGGAGCATAGTATTTATTGCTTTTTTAAGGCTTTCTATACCTTTTCTCTTATTAAGTTCTGGTACTTGTGACCAACCTTTTGTTCGTAAGGCAACTTTTATCACTCCCGATATGGATGTATGATGTGGAGTATTAAATTTTAGTGGTTTAGATACGATGATTTGTGAAATGAACAAGTTTGTTCCCAATGATAGTTGAATAGACTGATGAATAATGGATGAGAAATGTTATCTCCTGTGATATGAGTTTACGTTCACTCCCGCGAAATTTTTCTTTCTGTTCCCTTGGACCTCAACCTAATATACTTGCACCGTGGGCGAAAAGAAAGAAGAAAGATCAATGTTTTTGACCCCAGAACAGGTGCTTTTAATGTATTATGTTTTTAGTACTGTATAGTAGTGTTATGTTGTTGCTGTGCAGTTACTCTTTGGTGCTACTTCACAATCAGTTAGGCCAAGCTTAAGTAGCAATCCATGTATGCATAATTGATCTGTATATGTACTGATAGAAGGTAACATATACTTAATGGTTTAATTGCAGTAGATGTAAGTTGGTCAGGACACCATAACTGTTATGTAAAGAAAAGAAAAATAAGCATGTCATCTTGTAGCAAAGAGGTCATGTCACACCCAGCCACAGATGAGGTTGCTGGCTTATAAGTTTACTGTGTTCAACTGTCTATTCCTTCTTTTTTTTTAAAATTTTTCTTTCTGGGTATAAATTACTGCATCGATTTTGCGCTGAACCATCAGTTGGTCTATAATCTCTTATTGCTCACTAGATTTTAGTAGATTTTCATACACCTATCATTTCATCAGAAAGAAGATGTTATGAAACTTTGCTTCTTATAAAATTCAATGGAGATCAACAATGTATTGACACCAATTGTTCTTTAATAGTAATCATTGATTACGAGAAAATAATTAAAAATGCTCTCTTATGTTTAGAAATAGGTCTAAAATGCTCTCTAATTTAGAACATGAGTGGTCTAAAAGTGAACATGTTTGGAGTCTGTCAAGTATTTACTTTCTCCGATCTATAATAAGTGATTTTTTTGTCCTTTTATTTTGAACCAAAATAAGTGTCCTTTTACATAATCGAGAAGGAATTAACTTTATTTTTTCAAAATTTGCCCTTATTTACATATCCACATGTGTCAACAATATGCAAATTTTAATTAATGATAACGTAGTCAAAATACCTTTTTTTCTCTAGGAGTTAGTATTTTATTAAGGAATGTGCCAACTATGGATCAGAGGGAGTAACAAACTCTTGTTATTAAATTTAATGTGAACTGTGAGAAGAAAAGATTTGACGAAGATTAAAAGCATCTACTTTTGCCAAACTTTAAAGATCAAAACTAGGGGTGGACGTTCGGTACGGTATTTAAAAATTTCGGTCTCTGGTATGTCAATTGTGCATATCAAATACCGTACCAAAATAGTTCGATACGATTTGGTATTTCTTAATTTGATTTGGTACGACTTCAATACGGTTCGGTAAAATTGCTGTTAGTGGAGTTCTCATAATAGTCCATCCATATAATCCAAATCCATGAGATAACCATATTGGTTTGTCAACAACGAACTCGAAGGAATAATGTTTTCATCTATTGCACCCAATCTATCTTCAAATGCCTAATATTAGTACTGTACTTAATCCAAATTTATGATAATCACTAATCGTTCCTTCTAGCCTGAAAATGCTCCAGCTTTAAAAATCAAATTTGCTACATTTATGTTCTAACTGAGAATTCACAGTAGAGCAACAAAGGACAGAGAAACCAAAGAATCTAAAACAACAAGAAAATGAGGAACTTTTCCAATATTATTTAGTTCCAGAATCAAATATATGAAAATATCAACACATTCCACCAAGTTGGAGTTTGTAATCTTGGTATACATATCTTATTGTAAGTCAAAAGTAGAAGATTGGATTTGGATAGTTGAATTGGGCTTACCGGCTTTAGGGGTTGTAAGTTGTACTTGGGTTGGGAAATGGGAACTTGGGATGGGCTTACTAAAATATTTCGATATTTTGGTTTATCAAAGTATTGAAAGTTCAATACCGAGAACTAGGGGGTGTTCATGGTTCGATTTGGGTTGATTTTTCCTAAAAAAAAAATCAAACCAAGTAAGTCGGGTTTTAAAATATTTTAACCAAACCAAACCAATTAAGTTGGTTTTTTATCGATTCGGTTTGATTCGGTTTATCGTTTTTTCGGTTATTCGTTGATATTTTTCTTAAATATGAGACATACACTACCAAACGCATATTCCGGTGACTATATTTTCAACGTAACACTATCAAATCAATTATTCTTTGAGAAATCTATCATTTACCAAGATATATTGATGATAATTGAATCAAATAGTGATGAATAATTAAAGCACTCAATTAAAAATCGATTATTTTTAACATGGAATAAATTCTTGTACTTAGCTAAAGAAAACTACCAATCAAACTAGAATGTAAAAGCAAAGAATTAGATACATCGGTTATTCATCGGTTTGTTTCTTAAACATAAGACATACACTACCGAACACATATTCCGGTAACTATATTTTCAACGTAATACTATCAAATCAATTGCTTTTTGAGAAATCTATCATTTACCAAGATATATTGATGATAATTGAATCAAATAGTGATGAATAATTAAAGTACTCAATTAAAAATTGATTATTTTTAACATGAAATAAATTCTTGTACTTAGCAAAAGAAAACTACCAATCAAACTAGAATGTAAATGCAAAGAATTAGATTATTATAATAGCAAAGAACTAGACTAAAAATCTAAATGACTAGTATGTACCATAAAATTTTAGAAATTTTATATAAAAATATACATATATATGTGTAATAATAAATTTAAATAGCTACTTTTATAGTCGGTTTGACTCGATTTTTTTTAGTTATTTTTTGATTAAAACCAAAACCAAACCAAGTTTGATCGGTTTTTAAAATTCAAAACCAAAACCAAACCAAACCTAAAAAGTATCGTTTTTTTGGGTCGGTTTGGTTCGGTTTTTCGGTTTTTTATGAACACCTCTACCGAGAACCGTACCGAAGTACCGAACTTTTAAAATATTTATACCTAATTACTACCAAAAAATCGAAGAACCGATACCAAAATTCCAAATTAATTCGGTTCAGTCTGATTTTTTGATTTTTCGGATTTTATATCCACCCCGGATCAAAACTGTTTAGGAGTATATTTAAGGGACAATTTAGGCCTATCCCAAACATAAGACACCATTTTGTCATTTTCTCAAAGTTACTAGTATGATTTAATCGCCATTCCTCAATTTCTCGCGGATTGGGCGGGCCGAGCTATTACGAATATAGCTGCAGCTGGAAATTGCTTTAAATTAGACAACTTCTTAGTTTCAACATCCAAAATTCTTGCAATTGCCTACGCTGAATCTTCGTGTCACGGTCTCATTTCTGTAAAGTGTGAGTACAAATTCTGTTTCTACTTGTTACTCTTATGCAATGCCTACAACCTATTTGATTGTATGCATATATTACTTTCTATATTAACCGGGAAAACATTGAACATAACTTTTTGCGAGCAGGTTCATAGCCAAAATTAATTAGATTAGCAAATTCATATCTCTTTATTCACTAAAGCTAAACATAAATTGATTGTTAGAGGTGGGAAAAACACACACAAGAAAGAAAAAAAAAAGGTCTGAACTTGGAGAGTTTATTGCCCTTATATGAGTTGCTAAAACAAGGATATGATTCTTCTCAATATAGAATCACGTTTTAGCTCTGTTCTTTAATGAGAAGCTGTTAATTGTGGAATAGGCTGGTCCCTTTTTATGAATACTAGTGTCGAAAAATTTCTACTGAATGTTTATGCTCTCTCCTTCCTAGTGTTGTCACATTTCAATTCATGATTTTAGATTGACCTTCTTTTGGAGGTTAAACGTGGATAAAACTTTCTGAATTACTAGAGAAGTAGAAACTACATCTAAAATCGTATGAGCTGCAAATTTTCCATTTCAATTATGTTTTCAGGAGGTCACGGGTGCAAGCGCGGAAACAACCTCTTGCAAAAGTGCAAGATAAAGCTGCGTACATAAGACCCAATGTGGTCCAGACCTTTCCCGGACCCCACACATTGCGTGAGCTTAGTGCACCGGGCTGCCTATTAATTATGTTGAAAGAAAATTTGTATAACGCATTTAATTGGTAGTTACTTTGCTCATACTGTATTGCTTTTCTGAAAATCTTCACAGTCCTACAACATAAAATGAGATGAAATCCTTACTGAGATTCAAATCCAAACTCACACCAGTATTTGGTCTGGTTTTTATTGGTCCATTTCCTCCACTCTTTGCACTTGGACATCTGCTTCAACATCTGCGCTGTTACTCTGGTGTAGCAACTCAGTGGCAGAATGAGACAAGATCAATTAAATGTAATGATATGCTCAATGAGTTCACTACTTACTGCTATCAAAGGGATCTTTCCAGGGCTATGAAAGCATTAAACTCCTTGCAAACTCACAAGATATGGGCTGATGCTGTCACCTACTCTGAACTCATTAAGTGCTGCTTGGCTCGTGGCGCAGTCGAACAAGGCAAACGGGTCCACCAACATGTGTTCTCCTATGGTTATGAGCCCAAAACGTTCCTCATTAACACACTTATTAACATGTATGTGAAGTTTAACATGCTGGACGAAGCACAAGCTTTATTTGATCAAATGTCTGACAGAAATGTTGTCTCCTGGACTACAATGATAGCTGCCTACTCTAGCGCTAAGATCAACAACAAGGCTTTGGAGTTTTTGATCCTCATGCTGAGAGATGGTGTGAGACCTAATATGTTTACTTACTCCTCTGTTCTGAGATCTTGTGATGACCTGTCCAATCTTGGGCAGCTCCACTGCAGCATACTCAAAGTTGGTCTGGAGTCTGACGTATTTGTCCGAAGTGCTCTTATTGATGTTTACTCCAAAATGGGTCAACTCGAGTGTGCATTGTGCACCTTTAATGAGATGGTGACAGGGGATCTTGTTGTCTGGAACTCCATTATTGGTGGATTTGCTCAAAACAGTGATGGGGATGAAGCTTTGACTCTCTTCAAAAGAATGAAGAGAGCCGGATTCTCGTCTGATCAGTCGACCTTGACAAGTGTTCTTAGAGCTTGTACTAGTTTGGCACTTTTAGAAGTTGGAAGTCAAGTCCATGTTGATGTACTCAAGTTCCAGCGGGACCTAATCCTTAACAATGCACTTTTGGACATGTATTGCAAGTGTGGCAATTTAGAAGATGCCCACAAAATATTTACTCGGATGGTAGAGAAGGACGTGATCTCCTGGAGCACCATGATCATAGGCTATGCCCAGAATGGTTTCAGCAGAAAAGCACTGGAATTATTCAAGGAGATGAAAGTCTCAGGGATCAAACCAAACTACATCACTGTTCTTGGAGTTTTATTTGCTTGCAGCCATGCTGGACTGGTAGAAGATGGGCAATATTACTTCCACTCGATGAAGAAGCTCTTTGGTATTGATCCAGGAAGAGAACACTACGGTTGCATGGTTGATCTTCTTGGAAGATCTGGGAAGCTAGATGAAGCGGTGAAACTAATCCATGAAATGGAATGTGAACCAGATGCTGTGACATGGAGAACATTGCTTGGTGCCTGCAGAGTACATCGAAAAATGGATTTAGCTGAATATGCTGCCAAACAAATTATAAAGCTGGATCCAAGTGATGCAGGAACTTACATATTGCTATCTAATATTTATGCGCACACTCACAAATGGGAAGACGTTATGGACTTGAGAAGGTCCATGAGGGAAAGAGGAGTGAAGAAGGAACCAGGATGCAGCTGGGTTGAAGTGAACAAACAGATCCATGCTTTTATTATGGGAGACAACTCTCATCCACAAATAGAGGAAATTAAAAAAGAGCTAAATCAGATTATTTGGAGATTAAAGGAAGTGGGATATGTTCCAGACACAAACTTTGTCTTGCAAGATCTTGAAGGTGAACAGATGGAAGATTCACTTCTGTACCACAGTGAGAAAATAGCTGTTGCCTTTGGTGTAATGAGCCTGTCTAGAGAGAAGACCATTAGAATCAGGAAGAATCTCAGGATCTGTGGAGATTGCCATTTATTCGCGAAACTTTTGGCACAGATAGAGCGTCGGAGCATTGTCATAAGAGATCCTATCCGTTACCATCATTTCCAGGATGGTATTTGTTCATGCGGAGATTATTGGTAGATGGGAATGGACTTCAGTTGAGTATGATAAAATACCTAGTTAATTTGCTTTCGATAGACTTATAAGCTTCACTGTCTACATTAAACACATCATACTCACTTGTCCCCCATGTTTATATGTTTTGCTGGCAGATATAGTAACACTTGCAGAAATAGTGTCAACTATGGAGCTCAAAGTACTGGTTTCATGCAGCAATGGTTGGGTTGACAAGAATCCACTCTCTGCCCAACTTGCATTTGTATTGGCAGCTATGAGTTTCTAGGTTGGCAAGCAAAATTACTGAGGAGACCTCTGAAGGTATAGCAGCTGCTGAGCAAAAGTCCCAAGTTTAAGAAAATACATCTTTTAGTTGGACTGTTCAAGCCTATTTGATCTTCTGAAAATTTCATCCATCTTCAATTTTCAGATTGCAAGGTCCCCTATTTGAAATCTGCTAGAAAATGAAGCTTATCCAAGTCAAGAGCTTTGTGCAACTACATTAAAAATCCCTGATCCAGGTCCTCTCTTATTCAAATCTTTCCCCAGCCGTTACTCTCTTGTCAAGTATGTGTATTTGAATACTTGTTGGGACTTTTACTTTTCTTCCATTATTGAGATATTATTCAGTGTGGTTCTTGTTTGTCAAGTATGCTTGTTGCTTTCCCTGATCAAAATGAACTAATTGGCAATGAAGTCACTTCCTCATATTGTGAACTAGACTGGATTTGTTGTTGTTTTTTCTTTTAGGAAAATGCTTTGCTAATATGTCCTATAGCGATCAATTTACTTACTTCGTGGTTTAATTTGTATGTGAATTAGAGTTATAGGCTTCAGTAGTCTGTCTATATAGGAAACTTTGTACTTATGTTCCACATGTTTCTTATGGTTTCCATGCAGATTTAGGGGCAATCTTTGAAATAGCAAACTGGTGAAACATGAACTGCTTATATCTGTCAAGGAAAGGATTGCTAAGAGTACATTCTCTATGTAACTGGCATTTGCATTGGCAGCTAAGGTTTTAGGTTTTCCATTTCAGCCTCCTTAATATTGATATTTACGGCCCAAGAGTCCCCAATTCGCTTGGTCTAGAAGGGTACAAGATTTACCAGAGAAATCTGGTTTCTTTCTGTTGTCTATATTTAGTCTAATGTTGAGGTCACGCAGTTTCGTTGGTTCAAAACACAGATGATATGTGGCGCAAGAATGGTCTATTTAAGTTCCTGAATGAATTCATCCCGAAGAGCTTGATTTCGTGTGGCTGATGTCCCAGCTTAGACCACATATTACCATATTAAATTGCAATTCCTCCAAGCAACTGGAATAGATGGTACAGTTTTATCCATCAAGTTTTGAACTGTAGCCTTCGGAGATTTCGGATATGAAAAAACAAAATCTTGTTATTCGTTTAAATCTGATAGCCATGTTTGGTATTTGGTAACCAATTGTTATCTACATTTTATATTCGAAGGTGAGCCTTGGAGTAACTGGTAAAGTTGATGTCATGTGACCAAAAGGTCACGGGTTCGAGCCGTGAAAATAGCCTCCAGCAGAAATGCAGGGTAAGACTGCGTACAATAGACCCTTGTGGTCCGGCCCTTCCTCGGACCCCGCGCATAGCGAGAGTTTAGTGCACCGGCCTGCCCTAATAGAGAATCTAGAATTACTTGAAAAATGTGTTTTGCCAGATGAGTAATGGATGGACTTTTGATATGTTGTTACAAAACTATTGTAGGCAAAATTTAAATTAAAAAAACATAAATTCTGAACTTATAATTCCTACTCCCTCCGTTTCAATTTATGTGAACTCATTTGATTGGGCACGGAGTTTAAGAAAAGAGAGAAGACTTTTGAACTTGTGTAAAATGAGGCACATATATTTTGTGTGGCTATAAATCATTGCATAAAGTTAAATTGTTTTCAAATAAGGAAAGAGGTCATTCTCTGTAAGGTTCACATAAATTGAAACGGAAAGAGTATTACATAATCTATTTAGTTCTGACATTTATATAACGTGCTTCACATGTCTAATATAATTCAAGTACGACATAGAGGACTCACGTTTTGAATCAAAATCTTCTGAATAATGAAACTTGGCATTGAACACCGTCCATATCTTGTGAAAATACATAAGATTGAAATCAATTATTTATTATTTTCAAAAAATAAATTCGAAATTTGTTTTTGTGTTGGATTAGGACTTCCGTGGCAGTACTATGTATAGAGAGAATAGGTTTCCATTGATTTTTTGTATTTGTTTTGGATTAGGACTTCCGTAGCAGTACTATATATAGAGTAGAAAGAATAGGCTTCGATTGATTTTTGGTTTTTGTGTTGGATTAAGACTTCCTTCTTTACTTTCGGATTCCTATGTATATATATATATATATATATATATATCCACAAGACTTGTGGTTTTCAAAATATAGGATTCTTTGCGGAGGAAACTCTTTTCGTTTCCCTCATATTTTTTTTATCCCAAACAAAATAGCAAAAGAGTTGGTTCAATTTTTTTGGTTTCCCCTCTCTCTTACTCGTTCGAAATTCTAAATCTAGACAAGTTGAAGAAGAATTAAACGTCAAGATATGGAAGAAGAAATTGAAGTTGCTTGGCGAAGGTTGTTGGAGGGAGAGATTGCTTCTGAAATCCTGTTAGGAAATCATAGAGACTATTTATTGCGGGAGTCTGAAATCATCAACAACAACAACCCAGTGAAATCTCATAGATTGGGTCTGGGGAAGGTAGTGAGTACGCAGCCCCGAGGGAGTAGAGAGATTGTTTCGGAAAGACTCTCTTCTCAAGAAAACGAAAAGAGAGTGCAGGAATCTGAAATCAAATATACAAAAACTGCAGCTATGATCCATAAATTGGAACATACAATCAATGATCTGAAGGAAAAGGATGCTAAAACTTGGAGGAGAATTGATACAGCGGAAGGTGATCTCAAGTTATTGCAGAAGCAGATTAGAGAGTATGAGCTTCGTCATCCGCCTAAAGTTGTATCTATTGACCAAGATAACCTATGCAACCAGTTGAGGTCAAATCTTCTTTTGCACCTCTATAATGAAAGAAAGATACTTGAAAAGACGATTACTTTGCTGACATTGAAAAATGAGGCCCAAGAGAAGCATATTCAACAGATGGTAGCCGAGTTCTTATCAACAGCTAGAGGCTCATTCGGAGATGTGAGGCAGGTTATTTTCAATTATGTCCGTCCAATAGTCAGTGCATCAGTAATAGTGGCAATGTTAGCCATTTCAGCATCTTTTTTTAATGTTCTGTGAAGAGATCCAATTCACAAGATAGTTTTCTGGACGCCAAACTATCAATGGTTTTCGTCAAAACAAGGTACTTCCAGAGCCGTTTGAGGTCACCGCTGCTTACTCCGAGGGAAAGACGCAGCTTGAAGCAGCTAAAATCAAGAGCGTCATGGAAAATTGAACAAGTAAAAGTATTAATTTTGTTGTAATTGTTTTTAAAGAAGTTGTTATGTAGTTTTAGAGAATTCTACTTTGGTTGGAAGGTGAACTAATTACTTGGAATAAAATTAGCTCGATTTGAATGTAAATGCCGTTTATTGAACGATCTTTTTTTGCCTTTTTTTGAATGATTTTTTGCAGATAGTATTAGGTTTTGCATATAAAGGTGTTAGATTTTATGTCTATTTTTTTTTCTTTTTAGGTTTAGATGGCTTTTGTTAGTTTTCCTTGATTTGATACAATCATTAATAGAGATATTTTAGGGATTCAGGTTTTCTCAGACTAGGTGAATGGCTAAATTAAGAACTTAATATGTCCTTTAGAATATTTGTTGCCAGTTATCTTCTGTTTCAAGCTTTGTACCCTAAGGTATGGAAGATCATAGGAGACCAATCACAGTAGAGGCAAAAAAAGTTGGCGATTTCTTTTCATTTACCTAAGTTTTGATGGACAGAGTTACTCGATACCTCTACTATAGAAGTATGAAAATTTTAGGTGGAATTGTTGCGAGCAAGTTGGCTAAAACACCACTGCAATACAATAAACGTTTGCAGATTCAGATAAGTTCATAGGATTCAAGACCGTGAGTATATAGATTAAGATTAAATAGATGATTTTGAATTGTTTGTTATAGCTGGCATTGTAGAGATTAGCAGTGGCTTTGCAGAAGTTTGTTAGTTTCAAAATTGTGGCATTTCCTGTGAAGAGGACTATGCATGGTCGAAGGTTTAAGAGCATATAATTTTGGTATATGTTCTATGTATTTGTGGAGTTGGATTTACTGGCAATGAAGGAGAGTTTTAGAGCAACAGTAAAATTGTCTCCGTGTGACTTATAGGTCACTGGTTCGAGCCGTGGAAGCAATCAGAAATACTTGTATTAGGGCAAACCGTCTATGTTACACTGCTTGGGGTGCGACTCTTCCGTGATACGTGAACACGGAATGCCTTAGGCACCAGACTGCCCTTTTTGCCCTTAGATTTACTGGCAATGATTGGCATACATGCATCTTTTGCTTATAATATGTAATTTAACTTTTATCATTCCAACTGATGGTATTGACAACTGAAAGGAGACGCACTTCAATGACTTTTCTATTCAGAAATTGTAACAATTAAGTTTAACCAAGCTGAAGTAACATAAGCAAACAGGAAAATAAGCAACTATTTAGTGCCTTTACTAGCTTACAAACTATAAATGATGATTAGATACCTTTGTCCTGTTATGATGTGGAGTTGTAGTGGAAGTTATATTTTCTTATCCTGTTTACCAACTTATTTCAATTTCAATTTCCACTAGTTTCCTACCTTTTGTGCGTGAAAGGGTTGTTGAGGTACCTAATCTTTCTTTCTGGACAATTTTGAGTAAATGCCATTGCCGAAAAGATAAATTGTTTCCAAATATGGAAAGTAATCATTCTTTTTGGACGGATTAAATAGAAAATATGTTCTCATAAATTAAAACGGATGGACTATTATTATTATTATTATTATTATTATTATTATTATTTTTATTATTATTATTATTATTTTTATTATTATTATTATTATTACTATTATTATTACTATTACTATTATTACTATTACTATTATTAATAATATTATTATTATTATTATTATTATTATTATTATTATTATTATTATTATTATTATTATTTTTTTATTTTTTTTTTTATTTTTTTTTATTTTTTTATTTTTATTTTTTTTTATTTTTTTTAAATTATTCAATGTTGGGTGTTTACCCGAAAAATCGGATATAGTTGAATTTACAAGTAGTTCTAAGGATATGTGATATAGCCTGACGTAAATCGTACGTAGAAGTGGAAGTGTTAGGATTTTTGGCTATGGAAATGAGATATAAATTATTGAACTAGAAGAGTGAGTATGTTGAGTCAAACAAGCTTAAGAGATTTTCTTCAATAAATAGAAGTAGTCTTTTCTTACCATCATCTCCACCTGTGTTTACAAGGATTCCCCAATTTATAGTAGAGGGATCTTACTATTATTTACAATAAAAAATATATAGTGGAGAATCCATCATGAATTGTCCCTTTCTCGATTCCTTCCAAGATTCTCTCCCCTAGTGCGGTTGCAACGGCTCCTGTCTGCGAGCTCGATACTGGTTCGAGCTCGGTATTGGGTCGAGCTCTCGGCTTGAGTTCGAGTTCGACATTCGAGGTGAGTGTCAATCGGCCTGTGCATTTCCGACAATCTTCTCTTTGCCTTGCGGTTCGATTTGATCATGAGCTTGACAATGATACCGAGCCGATTCCTCGATCGGTCTTGGAGCTCGAGGCTTGTATGCACTATCCTCGAAACTCGTTTCGAGCTCTCACTTCGATCGCTTACCATTCGAACTCGATCAAACGTACGGAGGCCGAAATCTATTTCGACCGTATACAGATAGTCCCCTCGTTTCTCAGGAAGAATGTGGTGAGAAACGATATGATATTCGACGGCTCGATCGGATTATAAGCTGACGTTTTCACTGGGCTCGATCGTGACGTATATGATAGATGTCCCGTCGATTTAGTCTTTCAAGGTATTTAATGCACATCAGATGGTGGTCGGTCACCGCTGATACTGAACCGCCACGGTATAAACCTTTAAATAGCCCTTCCATTTATCATTTACCACTTTTACATCTTCAATCTCCCAAATTTCTTTACTCTTTCTGTCTCTATTTCGCCACTTGTAGAGCCACATTCATCAGCGTTTGGAACCATCAACCTTTCATCTTCTTTCACTTTTCTTTCTCTTACATTAATGGCGAAAACTTCGAAAACTGTATCTCAGAAGGAGAAAGCTTCTTCTTCACGGCCGTCCGGCGACAAGGCGCCGGTGGAGCCGCCTCCCTATAAGTATGTTCCCGGCCCGCATACTCTGAAGATTGATTTTAAGGTTGTGAACCCTTCATCTGTTCCGGGTCGATGTGAGCATGTGTCGATGTACATGTGCTCGATAACGGAGGGTCATCTCGAGGCTGTGAGGAAAGACTGCAACTGGGGTTCCGAGGTTGCGTTGCAAATTCCCTATCCCGAAGAGAGCGTCATCACTCATGTGGAGGGGTTTTTAAGTGTTTACACTTACCCCTTCACATTGGGTCCTGTCGACCCGGTGATCATTGATTTTTGCAAAAGATATCAGGTTACCCTCGGTCAAATTCATCCTTCTCTATGGCGTATAGTAACCTTACTTCGCTTTTTCTCCAACAAGGTCGGGGGGCTGGATTTTTCCCTGAATCACCTCATACGATTGTATCGGCCTCAAATCTTTCGAGGACTAATCAGGCTTTATCGTCGGGCATCGAAGGCTTTGATGTCGAGCATCGACGAAGACAAGGATCAGAGTTGGATGGGCCATTATATCCGGGTGAGGACCCGTGACCTCATTCCGGAAGAGAAGATGTCGTTCCCCAAGGAATGGAATTTCGACCGTAAGTGGGTTTCATAAGACGTTGCTTTTCGTATCTTTCTCCGATTTTATCTAATGTCTTTCTCCGATATACAACTGCCCCTTGGATGCCACAAGCGGTACTCGACCTCGAGGATTGGGTTCAGAAGTTAGACTCGACTTCCTCTTATGCCGAACGCGCTTGGCGTGATTTGACAAAAAGGTAGATGGGAGGCCAAGAATCATGGTAAGGGTCACTTCTCGTGTTCTTCGAAATATTTTTTATGCTCCATTCGTTACCGATTTCCTTTCATGCAGGTGTAACCAAGGATGCCGTTTTGAGGCCTTCGAGTGGTGAGGAAGGAACCAAGTCCCCGGTCCTGGAATCGGGGAAAGATAAGAAGCGAAAAGCTGTCTCTCTGTCAGAGGACCCCAAGCCCAAAACTCGAAGGGTGAGGAGGAAGGCAATCGATCTTTCAACGGACTCGGTCCAACGGCTGAGAGAAGAAGAAGAAGAAGAAGAAGAAGAAGAAGAAGAAGAAGAAGAAGAAGAAAAAGATGATGCCTCGATTTTGGTGATCCGATCTGCGAAAGCTATCGAGGTCGCCAGACCTTATGAGTCGATGGCGGCTATACCGGTCGGGGTCGGTTCCGGTACCCCGAGTCTCGATCAGAGCGTCCCGAGCGATTCGCTTGGGACTATGATAGTGGGGCATTTGCCTTCTCTTCCAACCTTTTCTGAGGAGGTGTTAAAGGAAGCTCGAGAATTGAAAACCCCCGATATGGGCGGAGGCTCTAGTGTAGGGGACCCTTTTCGGGATTTTTTTACTGGAGTCAATGATGCCTCCGACATTGGTGATGCTTCTCTTCTCCTAGAAGAGGCCCAACGTTTCATTTCTCGGGTAATGATTTTACTGTGCTTGGTTTCTTCATTCTTTTCCAAACTTGACTTGTGTTTTTTCCCTACTGTGCAGGCCATTAGCAGGTTTTGAGTCGACCTCAGCCAGTGTGAGGTCGAGCTTCAAAAGGTCTTGGGGGAGAGAGATGCCCTGCGGCTTCTTTGCAGCCAAAAAAATGAGGCTATAAAGGACCTCCAAGCAGATTTGGGTAAGGCTCGTGAAGAAGAGGCCGAACAGGATAACCAAGTGAGCCTCGTTCTGTTAGAGTATAGGTTTGACCCAACTGTGGAAAATAACCCTTCGTTATCTCAGCTGCAGCAAAATGTTGAAAAGATCAGGTTGCTTTGGGAAGAAGTCGATCAAATCAAGGCTTAATGTAACTGGTGGAAGGAGACTGTCGACCGCCTGGCTGCAGAAAAAGAAACCATCTTGGCCAAATTATTATCGGCCGATGTTCAGCTTCGAAGCATCAAGCAAAAGGGTTCGGTTCAGGCCAAGAGGATCGAGGAGCTTGAAACACGACTTGCTAAGGCCAAGGCGGAGGTTGAGTCGTCGAAAGTCATGGCGGACAAGTCCATTGCCATGTATCGGGCTGATGCCGAGGCTGCTCAGATAGAGGCACGAGAGGCAGCGGATATTGCCGACACTCGAGCACATTGGGTTGCCGAACTTGCTAAGTGTCGGTCTCGGAGGGAGACCCT